CTGCTTCATTGAGTAGTTATACTCTGTAATGAGCTTATTTTCACTGAATTAAACTTGTAATTTCAGCCAACAAGGAGAGAAAGAGCAAAAATACACTTTTTTATGCGCTCGGGGATTTCACATTCAAGCCACCGTCAACCTAGTTTGAAAGGGAATGAAACAATGTATAGTTTTCCTAACATATTTCGATTTTTTTCAGAAAAAGTGTTTTTAACAAAATTCGATTTTGAAATTTTGAGGTTTTGGAATTGAATTTTGTTCAGTTTTTCATGAAGAATTTTATGGTGGTTTCAGTTTTCATTTATGATGAGTCGTTTTGAAAAATTTGCCAGGTTAATAACGAAAATATGTTATTAATATGTTAATAAGATCGGTATCTTATTAACTAGCATTTTTGGGTTAATTTTTCAAAATGCTCAATCGAAGCTTCAAACTGAAACCACCACAAAATTCTTCGTGAGAAACAAAACAAAATCCGAATTTAAAACCCCAGAAATTCAAAATCGAATTTTGTTGAAAAACACTTTTTCTGAAAAAAATCGAAATATGTTAGGAAAACTATAAAACAATGAGTTGGCTCAAATTAAGCTAATGAACATACGCTCAACAATGGATAACTCAACTGTTAAAAGTGTCCCTGTGATGAAGGCAGCAGTATTTTCATTGGCCAAAAATGCGATCGCATTCACACATTCATCCGTTTGGCCAATTCTTTTCATTGGATGGATATTCGCGTATTGATCCATTATTGCCGCGTATTCAACGCTGTCCTTATTGAAGCCAAGTGTGATTTCGTGAAAATTCGTATCGACCACACCAGGTGAGACACAATTGACACGCACACCTCGATCAGCCAAATCAACAGCAACACACTAGATATTGGAGGATAAAAATCAAATTTTCAAAATTTGACTAAATTTCTTTTTATTTATCAGACGCATTTGAATACTTGGGTGAATTGATCCAAGGCAGCTTTTGACATGCAATACGCGAGCAGAATTGGAAATGTTCGCATTCCACAAACAGATGACACGTTGACGATATTGCCTTTGGA